GCATTTTCTAGGATGTCACAGTGTTAATGCTGGTAATTATGTCCAGTTGGGAAACACTAGTATGTAAATGAGCTGGTGAATATCAGAGGTGTGCAAAGCTCTGCCATTTTGATTCAGCTCACATAATGCTTATATAGTCACACACAAAAAACCCACCATCTGAACTCAAAGGTTTGCTTGGTTTCAACCTCTTCTCCACTTTCCTCGCCTGTTTCTCCCTTAACTAGCCTTTTTTACCCTCTCAGTTTCTCACTTGCTCTTTCCTCTAACCTCTTAACCCCTTGTTCTTTTCTCTTCCCCAGCTCAGAGCTATTGCCCACTCCCTCAACAACTCCCACCACCACCACGAAAGGTTAGGTCCATTGAAGAACGGCGATCCAGTTCAGCTTCTCAGCATCTGCTCTTTTGGCCATCTGCAGTGGGGGGAGTGACTGGACTCGGTAGAAGTAGGAAGGAAGGAGAGACCTGTAGCTGGGGTTAGGGAAAAGTGGGGGGGGCTACTAAGACCCATGCATTAATAAAGGAAAGTAGTTGGAGCTAGTAGGTGGATAGAGCACAGCAGAGAGGATAGAGTCAGAAGACGGGAAGGACCTTTACCTACAGTAGTGGGTAGTACTCAGCAAGGCTGAAGCACAGAGAGTGGAGAGTCTCCAGGAAACAGAAGGGTAAATGCAAATTGTGGTGAAGTGAGGTATGGAGGCAGCATACAAATAGTCTCACTGAATTCAAGGGAATCTTCATTACTTTCAACCAGGAGTAAGAATTTTGCCCATAGAAGTGATAATTTTAGAACAGTGGGGGACAAAGGAAAGCTTGCCCGGCCACTGTGTAAACTACGCATGATACGTGGCTAGAAAAAGTCAATTGGCAGTACTGCTAATCTGGCATTTTTCATTAACCTTAAATGGTTTCTTTGTTTTTAAAGATTCTAAATCCATAATCATTCTCTCAAGAGGCCAAAATAGTAGCTGTTCCTAGAATTCACACATCTAAATCAAAATTAAAAAGAAAAGTGAGAGGAGGTGATGGCATGTCAAGGCCCTCTTATAATAGCACATTCTTACACTATTCCTGCTCAGGAAAAGAGTCCATTGATTTCACTGAGCCTCATGGAGCAGCAACTAACCTGGGGCCTGATTCTGCCACCTTTCCTTGTGGGATTACTTATGTGAGTCAGTAACATAGAATCAGGCCCTTACTGAGTAAATGGAGGCGCGTATGGCCCCATAGGTGTATATATTTTCCCTAGTGTGACTGCTAGTACATTTTACATTTTTGTAGAAGTGAATAAACAACCATAAAATGAGAAGGAGTGACAGGGATGAAGGGACAGCCAAAATCCAAATAATTTAGCAATTCTATGAATACTTGCTCTTGGCTATTGAAAAACTGCTAAATTATGTTATGGCTATTTTTAAAGAAATAATGCTTATTGTACAGGCATAATTGTGTTCAAGTAGTATTCAAAATTGTATTCCTCCTGATTGTCCCTGTATGCGTATGTCTACACTGGAGTAAAAGACCTGAGGCATACCCTGGACTGGCCTGGGTCAGCTGACGTGGGCTCTCAGGGCTTCGCCGTGCAGGATAAAAATTGCTGTCTCAGGCTGGAGCCCAGGCTCTGGGATCCTCCTCGTTCCTGGGGTCCAGAGCAAGAGATCTAGCCGAGCCCGAACATCTATACCGCAATTTTACAGCCCCGCAGCCGAAGCCCTGCGAGCCCAAGTCAGCGAACCCAGGCCAGCTGTAGGTATTTAGTTGCTGCGTAAATGTAATCCGAGACCAGATTCTGCTTGCCTTACTCATACAAATATTCCCATGGACTTCAATAGGAGCTTTGCCTGAGAAGGATGTGCAAGATCATCCCTTTCAAAATGAAAGCATTATGAAGTGTCAATTGCTAGAGAAAACATATCAATATTCCAGAGAAATCATGAATTAATATCCATTTCTTTAATTTACTAAATTAGAGTCAACCGTAATCTTGATGTCGCAGATCATCATAGGATGTAAATAAATGTAAGAAATGCACCAACAGCATACTGGTCTAACACAAAACCACATACCCACCCACAAACAACTAATTGTTGGCTATCGTTCTCTTGTTCAGCATGAACCAAATTCTTAGCTGGAAGAGTTCTGTTGACTTCAGTTTAGCTCTGAAGGTAAATTTTATTAGTTTTTTTTTCCCCACTTTATGCCCTAATTATTAGGGAAGCCATTTTCTATTTCTACGTAAAATAGAAGTCTCAACATTTTATTTCTTTGGTATTAAAAGGTACTGCTATTTTTATCAGACTAACAATCCCGCTATGGAAAAAACATCAGCGAGAAAGATGTAGGAAGCGATGCTCTTTTAACATACATATCAAGTTCCCACTACAATGTCAGATTGTCTAAACAAATCAAGGAAGAGTACTAATTTAATAAAGCTCTATTTTATGAAAATTATTAAAATGTCTTAACTGGTTTGTGATATACGATACCACTGTTTAGAAATTCAGCAGCTTACCAACAAAAAATGATCATGACAAGATTTGTTTTTTGTTTTTTTTTTTTACACTGAAGTGTTGTGTTAATTATCTTAAAGAATGAGAGAAAAATAATGTCTAAGAATTATTGGTTGTAAATCTCAGCTATTTTCATGGCTATCCAACCCCACACCTAACAATGTAGCAACAAATGAAGATGAAGCTTCATTAATGAGAATATAATGAATACATTACCCTCTCAACAGGAGCCAATCCTGTATTCCCTGCTCAGGATAAACAGCCATTGATTCTAATGGGAGTTTTTCCCTGAGTAAAGAGTGCAGGAATGGGGCTCCTTGAGCTAAATCTTGTTTGCCTTTCTCAGCCATGTAATCCATTAAATATTGACACTATTCACACTAGTAAACTGAGCAGGATTTTGGCTGAAGTGATATTTGTAGTGCAAATTATATGAAAACAGGATCTGTAAACTAGGTGGCATCTTCTTTCCCATGAAGGACATTTATAATTATATATAGATGTCTCAGTGTGCTTTGCAGTAGAGCATCATTAATTCATGCTAGTGAGTGAGAGCCATTATAAATTAATGAATCGTTCAAATTAGCAAATAAGGGCCCACTCCTACAAATCTTACTCCTGAGTAGTTCCACTGACTTCACTGGGATTAAGTGAATTGTATCAACATCATGTCTTTAGCGCTAAAGACATCTTATCCTGAAGAAGGATGGCCATGTTAATACCAAATAGCCAGATTCTGTCTTCCATACTCTTGTTGTATAGTACATTACTGTGGGAGCAGCAGCACAGAAATTAAGGGACTGCTCAGAGAGCAAGATATTATGGGGTGCGAGCATGGGTGGCAAAATTTGACTTTGTGATTAAACACAGTGAAGAAAGCAAGGCGAATGAATAAAAATGTACATTGCTCCTTTATTTTGTCAATGGTGAGTTATAAGCCATACTCCATTGTTTCCTAGTAAATGTAAAAGTAGTAAAAGAATGCAATAATCTTAGTAATATGAGACTTTGCTACAGCACCTGCTATTAAACTTTTGCTCAGAGGTAAGGAATTCTGTGTGAATTATAAAACAATTGTGGGGTCTGAGAAGAGAAGCTACAGAGATTCAAAAATCATATAATTAGCTTAAAATAAAACCCTAATCACATATTGCTAGTTTTGCATGCACTCAGAACAAAATAGCTACATCCAGTTATTAGGAAGCTGCAGTGAAATAATTCAATGAATCACTTGAATTTGCAGCTTCTTCCTTGCTTTAAAGAAAGATGTGAACAGGACAGGGACCCTTCAGCACTGGAAAGGAAACATACTGAGTGCCTGAATGTTGGCAGCTCCCTTGCCGCAACACTGTCTGTTGCTTATGAAAAGCAGCTGTATCTGGAGGTGCTACTAGTGTCTGATTGTATGAAAACCAATATTTTCCAAAGCAGAATAATGCATGTTCTAGCTATGTCATTTATACAATCACTATAATGTGCCATTCAAGTGGAGACCTAAGAGATGATAGAGGGCTGATGACTTAAAACGCTACTTTATCATTTGCCTTCCAGGAAACATGAATGCAGAAATGTTTCAGTCAGATGTGTGTGTGTGTGTATATATATATATATATATATATAATCTCCAAAGCAGGGGGAGGAAGGAGTTGTTCACAGCCAAATCAGGTTCCCTTCCTACTTTAACTGTAACTCCTTTTTATTTCAGCTCAACTTTGCCCTCCCCATCCTGAGGGCTGTCATTCTGACCCCAGCCTAGCATGGCCATGACCAAAGAAAACATCTGCAAACATTGTTGGGTGTCCCAGAGTGAAATATGCAAATCTTTTCCTACTTCACTCAGCACAAAACTATGCACAAGAATTTTGCTAAAATATTAGACTAGCAAGCCTTCTGACCCTCATTAGTACACTTTCACACAAGAGGATTTCTCCTGCTCAGTCTCCTACTTGTGATTTTTATGAAGGGTTTCATTTTATCACTAGCAACATCGTTTTCACTTTGAGCTCTAATTTGACTTCTGTTCAAACTTGACTAACTAAAATAAATAGCAAGCAGCTACATCCTTTATTCATTAAAACATTTTATCATCATTATTAATATTATTATTATTAATAATAATAATGGTTTTATTTCCAGCCATCTTTATGAGCAAATCCAGCAGAGAAATGCACAAGGCAATCGTTTAAGATTACCGACTCCCTCAGTCAATTTTTGATACTTTATTTTTCTTAAGGTTTAAAACCATATCAATCCCCCTTACATCTACTCCTCTAAAAACAGTGTTGTCTTTGAGAGTCTTGGAGAAGTGAATTCATTTCATTTTGGAAGGAAAGCTCTGTCAAGAAGAGAGGGACTACAAATCTGACTTTTTAAAATATAATAAAGTTGAATTTTAGACCTATGTGAAGTAGGGAGGGAGAGAGATCACATAAAAAATCATCATTTACACATTAGGGAGAGAAAAAGATGTGTATATGAACTGTGTCCTACCTCTCCTTGCCGATGATGGTGCTTTGGAGGTTTTCCCATCTGCACTTGGATTTTGCCCTTCTTACTGCTCCCAAGTGCCAGTCCCTGGTGGATGCCTGCAGATCTGTTGGTTGCCTGCGTTGGAGCCTCCCCCATCAGGGTGGACTTGATCGAGTTCACCTTGGAGCTGGAGCTGTCTAGCTGGGAGCTCTCCACCATCAGGATCACAGCTAGTAAGAGGAGACAGCAGGAGCACTTATTCCATATCAGCAGCATCATCTCCCCCTCCCCACCAAAAAAGGGATTTAAAAAACAGCAGAGGGATAAAAAGAAAAAAAAATTCTCCCAAAGTTTGTTAACAAAACAACTCAATAGATTTCAATGCCACACGCTCAGGAAACTGCTGTCCTGGGAGAGACAGGAAAAAGAATCCCCTAAAAAAAGTACAGTCTAAAAGAAATGAGCAACATTCAGATCAAGTGAAGTGACGGCTTTTTTCTCCAGATTCTTGAGAAGTTCAGGAAATTTTTTAGTGACTGGGAGCAATAAACTGAGGCAATTGCACCCAGGAAAGCTTCCCACCAGTGGAGTCACCCTGCAGGTTTGCTCAAACTTCAGACGAAGAGTCAGTTACTTATTTCCCCCCCACTCCTCCTCTCTTGCTACACAAGTCAGCAGGGAGAAAACTCAAACCAGATCCAATCCAAGCAGCACTGTCAAGGGCTGGGATTAGTTTTGTTTCTCTCTCTCCCTCCTTTTTATTCCCCTCCCTTCTTCTTTCTTTCTTTTGCCTCAGTCTCTGTAGCCAGTGTTTGTGAAAAGGACACGTTCTCCTCCTACAGACGAGCTGGTGCTGGGGTGAGGGGCTCCAGGCATCCGGCAGACAAGGCGAGTCCTGGGGACTGAAGACCTGGAGTAAGGATCACACAGGCAGAAACAGACAGACATCTAGACAAACTCACTGACAAACTCCTTAGCACAGATCTCTACACACTCACTGTTCTCTGACAGTCTCTCACTTTGCTCTCGTCTCCCACTGGCCCCTTTACTTTTTATAGCTTTCCACAATGGATTTCTCTTTTCTCCGCCCCCAGTTCGGAGTGACAAAGAGTGAAACTGATTCTCATTCCCCCCTTGCACCCACCTTACCAACAGCAGATCTTTCTTCCCATTTTGGCTGGGAGATGGAAGTATCCACTGTCTTTAGGAACACAGGGGCTGTGTCTGTCTGTATCCCCCTGAGTGACCAGCACACCTCCTGAACACATGTACATACACACAGTGTTTCAGGGATCAGCATACTCGAGGACACATCTCTTTTCACTGGACTATCTGTAAGGCTCAGATGTTGGCACCAAGGTATGGTGTTCAGAATAAATCAGGAATTTCAATGAAGTCCATGATGAGTTTGTGCTGCAGTGGTGGCTCCCTCCTGCAGGTTTGGGCCTAGCTCCATAGGCACTTGAGACAGAGATGAGGGGGCAAGGGGCCATGCGCCCCACTTATAAAAACCTGGACAAGAAAAAAAATATATATATATATATATATACTGCAGCGTGGTCCAGCCAGCCAGTCCGCACCCAGGTCCTACTGTATGTAACATGCTGGCCATGTCCTGCTCTGCACTGTGCAGCAGAACTCAACTGCCAGCAGCTGGAACTGCAGAAGTAGCTCCTCTTGGCACCAGGGACCAGCCAGGTCTGGGATACAGGATGGACCAGTTACTTGAGGTCTTGTTCTTGCTGATAAGGAGCTGTAGGGAAGATGGGCTAGGGCTCCAGCAGGGTCAGGCTGGTGGGAGAGGCTCCCTCAAGAGCTCTAGGAGGGTCATTGGGTGACCATTCTGTGACTTCCTCCACCCACCTCTGCTGTGAAATTTACATAAAATAAATAAATAAATAAATAGTAGCTTTAATTATCTAGGATGAGAGTAAAAGTTGGATCCTGCCAGAAAATAGTGCATTCTGCTAGATCCTGCCAATGTTTATACCCAGGCCCCCAAAATTCCACTGTCTAAATAAAAAATGTCCAATCATTAGTAGTGTGCAGAAAAATTCCACAATGAGACATCTTGGCACTGTAGCTCCACAAAAACACAGATCCAGGACATGAATCCTTCTATATCCCACCAATTTTTGTGCCCAAGCCTCTAAATTCCATTATCCAAATAAAGAACACATCCAACTACTATCAGTATACCAAAAAAAGTCCTGAATACAGCACATCTTGGTACTGCAGTGCCACAAACTTCTGGATCTGGGATGTGGATTCCAGTAATTTTGGCATGCCGCTTCTCCAAATCCCACCACCTAAGAACCCATCCAACTGCTACCAGTGTGCTAAAAAAAAGGTGCATGGCACATCTCAGCACTGCAAACTGGAGACAGGCAATGGAACTGGGGACTTGGGTGCAAAAATCAGCAAGATCTGGCAGGATCTGTCTAGATCTGGCTTTTACCTATTAACTGCAAGGGACTCACTGCAAAAGGCTCACCCTGGATCAGTGTCTGTACTGCTGCAGACTAGTTACAAACCCTTGATTCCTTAGTGAGTGTGTGTATGTATGTATGTATAGTGAGTGACAGGAGGGGAGAGAACAGTTTCTTATAAGTTGCTTATTTACACACGTAAGTGTAAGCAACAACATTTTGGGAGGTGAGGAGTTCAGTAACTGGGTCTTCACGGGTTCTTTTCCTTCCACAGGGCTACTCATCTGAAATAGAATCAATCACTTCCACTTATTATAGCCCTTTACATGGGTAATGGGGAGGAATAAATTAAACTTCATTTCCCTTTTCCCTGTTAAATAAGCAGTTGTGTGAGAGGAAATCACTAAGGCATGCACGGAGGAGGGAGGGCAGAGAGACGAAAGCCCCTTGAACCAGCATCCTTTATTCTTCTGATTCTGTGAGCTCTCTTGCCTGGCTGCGAAGCTAGATTCTGTGAGCTCTCTTGCCTGGCTAGATCCTTTTTAAGGAGATAAGGAGCTGTGTCTCCAGCAATGACCTCATATGAAACATTGCCTTTTACAGTCTTTTAAAAGAACACAGAGGACTGTTTCTGTCAACGTGTCCCAATTTTAGGCTTTGTGGTAATCTAGAAGGAGCTCCTGGTAACGGGGAAGTGAACCTATAAAAAGTTCAACTCAAGCCTTTGATATTTTTTTTTAAAACCCAATTTTACATGGAGGAATTCTTTAAAAATCTCTTTTTTCTTATCCAAGGAGGTTATCAGCTTCAGTACTCATTTTTAGTATGGATGGATTTAAAATTAGTTTCATTTCTCAGAAGTGGCAGATCAACTATAGAGCTTGGATCTTAAATCCATAGGGTCCTAAAATAAATTGTGTTGAGTAGTTTAGAGTCTGATTTCAGGGTCAGATAAGTCCTTGTTTTAAAGATGAAATTGACTTTATTATGGTCAGTACAAAGGTTTATAAGTTTCACATTTTTCCTATGCTAGCTTTTGAGCAGAGAGGGAATGAATGTGAAATGAAACTTCATTGACAATCTGACAGTTTTTCTTGCTAACAGCATTTGTCTTTTGCCCCTTTGTGGAGCCAGGATCAGGTTAGGAAATGAAGGATGGTTTTTGCATTTGCATCTGTGTATAATCATGGAAGGCATTTCTACAGGAAAGTGCTTTGAAATTTCCTTAGGAAGGAGAAAATAATCTCCCCCACCCACCCGCTTTTGTTCACACACCTTTCCCCCATGTGATCTGGTTCATCGGAAACCTGTGAGAGAAAGCAAGGGCAATCATCTATCAGGACAAAAGCAAAAGGCTACCTCTCATCAGGGGACTCATTCAGTTCACATATGGATGAGCCTTTCACTTATACCACCACCAGTCTGACTGGGAACTCGGTGGCAATTTAATGTGTTGAAAAGATCCTTCTCCGTAATAATTTCAAATCACTTGAGCTTCACAGAAAACTAGTGAAGTGAGATCTGAACAGACTGCATGCAGAAAGATCCCTACAACACTGCAAGGTAGAAACACCCAATCAGCTCTGATACCCCTGGAGGCACACACACAGGCACACCAGCCACCAAATTCAAACATAAATCGTACTGAGATGGACAGACACGCAGCTCACTGGTTTATCGCTGCAGTGAGAGACGTCCTGCATTTCTTTCCTGTAGTCAGAAGAGTTCTCAAAGGAGTGTGCCAGGAGCTGAGGTATTACAGAGAACTACTACCATGGAAATCACGTCTCTTTCCAGTCTTCACAGTGGATTTCACAAAGCAGCCTTCCCTTAGCCTCAGTGTGCAGCGCTCACTGGCTTGTGATAAAGGAGCAGAAGGATAAAGTGGCAAGGTTTTGCAGGCTCTGCTTCCCATCTCAGTTATCACTCCCCCATGGTATACAAGATCAGTTTAGTACTCTGCTTAGGTAAACAAACCTTCTCCCCCCTTACTTAAATTGATGGCACAACTTCGACCAGATTTTTGGCTTATTGATCAGAAAGCTGTGGGTGATTATACTAGACAGCTATGTGGGATGGAAAATGTGATCCTTCATTGACAGTTTAATTATTTCATAAGTACCTTTAGGGACAGACAGTGTCTCCTCTATGCTTTGTATAACTAGGAACACACTGCAAGCACTCAATAAGAGTCAGAACCTTCTCCCATTGAAGTACATGTGAGTTTGCCTACTAACTTCAGAGGGAAGAGAATGAGGCCCTACAAGAATTTATTGGGACTGTGGATCTGGTTCTGTTGTCCTCAATTAGGAAACATTCCCACTGACTTCAACCTGATTTTTTGGCTGAGCTAGGGCAGCAGGATCAAACCCCATATTAGCACTCACTAATATTTATGTTTTCCATTTATTTGAAGTAAAGATCAACAGAAATAGACAAATCAATGATGAGCAAGTCTGTTTGGGATATTGCTTCTTATGGGATTATAAAACAGTGGCTGAGAGAGAGAAATACAGAGAGAGTCCATGAAAATAAAAGCTACAATCTAATGACCTGTTCCAAGCAACAACAGCTCTCACTGAAATCAGTGGCCATTGAGGGTGCTGAACATCTCAGAGGAGGCACTGAGCACCTAGCTGGATTGCACTCTAAATCTGATGATTTGTCCTTAAATTAAAAAAAAAAAAGCATATATCATGTACATAGCCTGAACACAAACCACGGGACAAAATTCCCAGTAGCTTCTATGTCCCTGGGTATAGGTTCAAAGGAGAGAGAAAAATGTGGGGGTCCAAAGGTGATACGATAGTAGAATGGTAATAGGATGTATTTGGTGGAGTTCAGTGGAGGGATGAATCAGAAATAAATGTGACCTAGAATAAGCATTGCTCAGAGGATGGGGAAAACCAACTGAGAATCCAGCAGTCCAAAAGGCTAGAACCTATTTTATGATATGTTTCTTACATGAGATTCTTTGGAGTGAGGATTGCCTTGCAGGATTTGGAGAAAAGGTCTGCATTGTCTCCTTGACATTTGATTTTCTCCTTGAGGACTGAAGATGCAAGTTCTGGGTTTCACTATAAGTGCAGGAGGGCTAAGGATTTCTCCACTTGCTCAGGGTGCATCTTTTGCTCCTACCCCACCCTTTCCAGAGCTCCTGTCCCCCTCTCTGCTCCTAGGTCCTTTCTCCCTCCCCTCTCCAAGCACACCAACTCCTGTTTCACTCACCATCTGCACTTATTTACCATCTCCAGCCTCCTCTGCTTATATCCATCCCACATACAGTCTCCTGCCCCCTCACCTACTGTCTCCCTCATCCTCTGGCTCCTGCATTGATCTCGCCACTTCATTCCTTCCTCCACTGCATTCAGGTACAGCTGGTGCTGCAGCAGTGCAGCAGGGGGTGGGGAGGCTGCAATCTTCCTGCAGAGTTCCAGAATCTTGCTACAGCAGAAACAACTGCAGGGAAAGCTCTGTTCAGCCCCTGCATGCAGAGGCTAGAGCATGCTCACTTGCTCTCTGGGGATGGTACATATACAGTCTAGTCAGAAGATGGGGCACGCTCAATATGAATGGAATCTTCAGATAATTTACAAGCCAAACTAAGATCTCTACTGAGCATGTGCAAACAGATTTTTCAAAAGCTTATACCTTGACCAAATTTGAGGAAATTTTCACAGGGACAGCAAAAGGAACCCTTCTGACATGCCACTTCCCACATACCCCTGTCAAGTCCCTGCTCAAAGCATGGAGGTGCTAAAGCTTCTCAATTAAACAGTTGTACTTTTTGTTTTAAAAACATGCAGAAAACAATGTATTTTCTAAACAGTTGAACTGATTTATCTTACACTCCTCCACACAAAAAACTAAATCAGCATGCAGCAAACAGGTCACGGAAAATTTCTGCCCAAATGGGACAAGTCTGGCAAACTTATAAGCAACTGAAATAGGGTTTCACAATGGAAAGTGTTGGGAGAACATTAAGTATAGACTGCTAGTGCCACCTATAATACTAAGAATATTGCTCTACAC